TGAGAATTGCGCAGTTGTCAGCTGTCTTGCGGATAAGAATTCCTGTCGAATGAGTGAAAAAACGGATTTGAAAACTTCAATTTAACTTAGAAATCGAGGAAAACAAAAAACATGGTTTTTCTTTTTCATTCACACATACCAAAAAACTGAATGTTCAAATGTATGTTTCAAGAGCTTCATAATGATATACGACTTGCTTATATTAATTTGCAAATAACGGAGAAAAGGGCACCAGAGCCAAATGCCCCGTGGAAGACGCTCAGTTGCGTGGAGAGTGTGCAATTCTGAGAGGCAGCAGAGAACGACCAGAGCCGACAGGGCATTTGACTCAGGTGGCATATCTCGACTCCTACTCAACGAAACCTCCAACATCCATATATCAATCTGCTCAGAACGTATGAAGAATCCAGTTGACAACTGCGTAACTTTCCATCATAACGAATTATTACCTTTCTCTTGATATTCAATACTCAAGGCTATTTGACGTACATGCTCCTGTAGTTCAATTCTAAGTCTTACTTCCAACGATGCATGCCTTTTGAAGTTAATAGACATATCAACTGCTTTGAAAGAAATAGTTATGGGGCGGATTTATCACTTACTTCTCACACTTTGTGGCCTTTACAACTCCAAATTCTATTCCAAACTACACTTTTTCATTTTTCATGGAGAAAACTCCCCATTCTCATCATTTTCCCTAAAATCCTGTTCTTATGTACTGCGATATCTCAATCTTGATTCGTTAACAAAGTGAAAATTTCCTCCCTCTATTGTTCTTATAGTTATCGACCTTCAAACTTCCAGTGTGTAAAAAAGTCGGGGTCCAGGGCTTCGCCCCGGGTCTTGACTTACTCATACTTTCTTTGGTGAAGGTCCTACTCTTTTTTCGCTCATTAGTGAAGGTGACCAGAGCCGTGGCTCTATGTATCTATCCTATGGTCAACAATGGTACAAACCTGGAGTTAGTAACTATGTAAGAAATCTCCAATCATTTCCTCGCACAAAATAAGGAAACTTCAAAGTCGTAATTTTTTCCTACAAAAACACTGAATAAGCGAACAAGAATGCTCGACTCTGATTCACGTTTTGTAAAAACCTCTACGGTTTGCTTTTATAAAAGTGTTAACAGATTGTTGAAAACTTTTTGTTAGACTTTTAAGAAAAATAAGGGAACTCTACTGCGCTTGCGCTTCCTGGACAACGCCGCTATTA